TTTTTTGCTTAAACCTAAAGTGAAGCTATGGTCAACTAAAAATAAAAATTATCAAATACTATCAAAACGTGTTGAATTAGATATACCTCCAAAAATTATTGATAAAGTTGATTTTTCTTTTAAAATTGATGAATCAATTATAAGTCAAGATGAAGCACAAGTCATGTATAATCAAATGCGTCAAATTACCAAAGATTTTCGTACTCAAGCAATGACATTGTATGTTCAATCAGCTGCTCGAGAATTTGAAGTCTTATCAAATGAAATTAAAGGTATTATTGAAAGATTTCCTCAAGAAAATGATGATGGATTTGATGCTGAACCTGGCTATGCAGCTTTTAAACAATATCATGAATTGCGAGAGAAAAGAATGAAATTAGAAATTGAACAATCACTTTATTTTTTATTCGAATAGCGAGTCGAGGGCGAAATCAACAATCCAGAAGAAGAGGAAATAGTCGCTCCGACTCTGATACGTTCGCTGGGCGAGGATTTCTTGCTCCAGCAATAATTAATGAAGCAAATATTCGATTAACTGAAGAAGAACATGAATTATTGAAATTAGGACCCAAATTTATATTTAATGATTCGAAAACTGCTGCTCGACGGCGTATAACTGAGTTGGCTACTCTTCAACGTAAAATAGAAAACTGTTTTTTTTCAAAAGAAAGTTAGCCCCGGCCGTCCACTTTATCAGTTTATAGCTGAATTAGATGTTCTTCTTCAAACTTTACATAATATTCCAACAGTTAATAAGGGTTTAAATAAATATAAAGATATATTATTTGGCAGTGATACACACCAAGATGATAGTATTGCTGAATTTATTAATAGCCAAGTAATTCAATTACAGTTTAGTAATCTAATTAAAAGGAAGAAAAAGAAAAATTATGGTAGACTTATAAAAAGGTTGAAGCATAAATTTAAATTAGCCAATATCCTTTTAAGAAAATCTGATAAGTCAAAAGTATTCCATTTAGGTAAAATAGAAGATTATTGTAAGAAAGCTAAAGATTATATGAATAAAACTCAAGCATTTCAATGTCTTGGCAAAGAAGATCCATTACCTGATTTAGTTCAACGAACAAATAAATATTTATTAGAATTACGATTAGCCAAATGGATTACTCAAAAACAATACGAAAAATTGTGTATTAATCCAAATGAAGTTGAACTTGCTCATTTATATTATTTACCTAAGGCGCATAAACCTGGTACCCCTCTTCGTCCAATAGTCTCTGGTCTTAAGCATCCAACAATAAAAATTTCAAAATTTCTTGATGAATTACTTCGACCTTTATTTGATAAGATGGCTGCAAAAACAACTGTAAATTCTGGCTTTGAATTAGTCAAACAATTGCAACAACCCAGGTCAATCACGCTCGATCGGATCCTGTCGATTCTAAATAATTCCGACTGAAACCTATCTCAATTTTGTCGGAATCCTAACTAACGGATTCCGACGTCGGATCTGACATCGGATTTGCATAAAATCCGATCAAATCCTGTCTGTTTTTGTCGGATTTTACCGGATTCCGGTCCGGATATCGTCGGAATCCGTTAGTTAAGATTGATTGACCTGGGAATGGTCAAGAATTAATATGCGTCAAGAAACCTTATTTTGCACTATTGATGTTATGGACCCGTATACAATGGTGCCACAGACAGAAGGAGTATTGTCATTAAAGAAAATGTTAGATTATTTAAAATTAAAACAAATTAGTGGTCTTAAAATTGAAACAATAATTAGATTGAGTCGATTTGTAATGAAAAATATTTATTTTTCTTACGATGGCCAGTTTTATCATCAAATTCGTGGAGGAGCAATGGGGTCTCCTCTTACACTAACGGTTGCTAATTGTTATATGTTCTTTTATGAACAACAAATTATAAAACAAATCAACAATAGTGGTGGATTATATTTTAGATATATTGATGATATTTTTATAGCAATCAATTGGCCTGTTCGGCATTTATTTAAACAAATTGATAAATGGAATCATTTCGACGAAAATATTAAATTATCTGAAAATATAGGTTCAGCAGTTGATTTTCTCGATTTACATATAGAGAGCCAAGATGGTCAATTGTTTACTACAGTATATGTAAAGCCATCTTATGAGCCATATTATTTGCCATTCAATAGTATTCATCCGTTACATATGAAGAAAAATATCATTTTTACTATGTTATTGCGTACAATTAGATATTGCTCAACCTTTCAAGCATATCTAAATGAACGTGAACAGTTACGAATAGGATTATTATTAAATAAATATCCAAATAAATTTATTAATGAACAATTTCAATATATATTATTAAAATTCAATATTGATCAGTTTCTAACAGTAAATAATTATAATAATTATCGTCAAAAAGTTACAGACTCTCCAATAAAAGAAAAAGTACTAATTGATTATGAAAAGACAATGTTTGTACATTTTACATATTGTTCAAATATGAAAACATTTCCAGGTAAATTCCATACACTATGGAATAAATATTTTGGTGAGTCTCGAATTAATGAAGTTATACCTATTCTTGGTACACCCAATGTTAACAACCTCCAGAGGCGGTTAGTACATACGAAAACATAATAGATAATTTCATTAGATATATGTAGTGATATATCTGTTAATATACTTCGAGCCTATTGGACAATTTAATTAAGCGAAATTTATTGATCATTAATTGTTTTTGGATCAAAATATTGCTTAATTTAAAGAAAATGATTGAGAACAAACATTGTAGAATTATTATTAAATTAATTTAAAATTGAATATATAAGAAATTATAATTGTTTAAAGAGGGATAATTAATCTTGAGGTGATTATCAACCAATTTCATCAAGCAAAACTTATTGACCAATTAATTATCCTTTCAATTTACAAATCTTGTTAATTGTTCATGTCTTTGGAGATAAATAAAGACAAATAAGTGATATCACATGAATAATATTATTTCAACTGTTTACGTTCATATCTTCAGAGACAAATAAATGAATAATACTATTTCAATTGCCTATGTTTATATCTTCAGAGACAAATAAGCGATAACACAAGAATCGTACTATTTCAATTGTCTACCTTCATTTAATTGAAATTATCTCTAACAATGATTATAATTGCTTTGAGGTGATTATCAACCAATTCCATCAAGCAAAATTTATTGATCAATCAATTAATCTTTTGACTGGTGATTATTAACCAAGTTTAACGTCGACAATGTCGTAATAATCGATTTGTTACAAATAAGTGATATTATCAATATCTTCAGAGACAAATAAGTGATATTATTCATGCCTTCAGAAACAAATTAGTGATATTATCTAGCTAAAAACTTCACTATCACGTACACGTACTAATATATCGACAACAATAACAACATGTTTGTGATCTGTGCCTTTAGAATGTTATTCGAAGCTCAGACTTGGGTTATTTCTTAGTGAATTCTTTATATTAGTCAACGTAGCTTTGTAGTTTTGTATTTTTATGTATGTTTATCAGTTTTTTGTTTTGTTTTTCATGTCACTGCGTAGCTTTCATTATAATTATTGTTATATTTGTGTCTTAAATGTAGTTAAAGTTATAATTAGCGTTTAAGTATGATATGAATTGTTTTGGAATTTGTGTTTCTGTAATGCAGAGCCCTGATGAGTGTTTCATTATTTCAATAAAATAAACATGAAACGCGTCGGCGAAATTAAACTCTGCATTCTCTTTTTATTATTTCATAAAGCACGAATACTCAATTTGACAAATTAATTACGACTTCATCGGTTGCTGAAAAGCAAGAGTTGAGACTAGCAGATTGATTTGTATCTGAGAGATATAGATTGATCTGTTTCTATTTGATTTCCCTTCTTTCCCTTGTTGCTCGTGTCACATCAACAATTATTACAGCAGAAATTCAGTGTTGATCTTCGACTGGGACACGCTGCCCTTTTAATATCAGCTCACAATCTATACACTATGGCTAGGAAAGATTCTTTAGAACTATACGTTAAACACTACATTCAAAGGAGATTAAAAAGTATAGACATAACGAACCTTGGTCATTCACTCTTCTAAAACCATATTTTTATTTGGAATGATTTTCATAAAAGAAAGAAGGATCACCTTGGTCAGTTTTTTCATAGTAATCGAGTAAAACAATTAATAGATAATCATGAATCGTTTCTCTTAAAATGGATATCATTTATTGAAATAAATTAACACTAAACAAAGAAAAGCACATGTAATATCTTTATACTTCTCTCCCCTTCTGTCTTTCTTTCTTTTGTGCTTTTTTCTTTTTTTTCTGGCCTTGAATGCATACGTATATACTCCTTTGCTGTCGTTTTCTCTTCTCATTTCGCTCTCCTTTTGCTTCATGACTTTTTCGATAGTTTCTTTTTTATATTTTTTTCTTTTTCGTTGCACTCTTCTCCGACCTTTCTTCTGTCTCTATATTTACTTTCTTAACCCCTATACCAACTGAGTTAATACTCGAAACAAAGGTATCGACAGCGATGACAAAATTCATTGTATTTATGTTATTACTCAGTGCTTAAATACCTAGTTTTTCCTTATATCATCATGTAAGTACTTCCGAGTGTTACATCTAAAGCATAATAAAAAATAATGGTACGTGTTATTTCAAACAAATAAATATTTTGTTTTCTTTTATTTAGGTCTTCGAAATGTCCAACTCCATCGTAAGTATTTTTTCAAAGTAATAAATATTGTTTTTCTTTTATGCAGATCTGTGTCTATAATAAAATAATCTTGATGAGTTGATTAAATAAAAGTGATGCTAGTTGCTGCGTATGGTAAGAAAGGATTCATCTCCCTTGGCATTCACTAGAAGCGTGTGGCCTTGATGACTAACGATAGGATACAAGTCGAGATGTGTTGATAGTAGTATATGTGAATACTACAATCATGTGGAATCATTTTAAACATATTTTGAATAACTGGAGATACGCTATAATGTAGCAAAAAAGTTGGAGAAATTCGCAAGTCTAGCGAATTAGTCACGAATAAATCGCTCATTTTTTGAGGAACTTTGATGACAATGCTGGTACTTTTTCGCCCTGCGCTGTAATAATAATATCTACTTTTATCTTGCATTGGTTTTTAACGAATCAGCGTAAGGGTAGAGAATCAATTTTCACTAATTACGTCATAAATCGAATGATTTTTTATTGATAGAAAAATTATACGGATTATAAAAAAGAACAACTATAGAACGCTGGTTAATATTCAAGCAGATTCTGTCGGTTCTTGTGAAATTTGCGTCAGAACCCGACAAGATCCGTTCCCAGTCAAGTGTTCCTTGGATTTCCGGGTCACTAGATTCTGGACTCAATCCGATAGAATCTGGGTGTGAGTGTGGGTGTGGATATTCGATTATATAACAGTATCCACACCCACGCCTCTACCTGGCACATCAAGCTTTTGTTCATTATTCATCATAGAATTGTTGTAATGTTCACATAAACAAAAGCACTAATCATTACTAATATTATCTCATATCTCATATTTCACTTTTTTTATTATCGTAATTTTCCATTTAGCAGAGAAACATACAAATAAGAACAAATTAATTTTTTTTTGTTAAGACTCTTTATTTCATAAAAGGAAATAATAAATTACTGCTTCTTTTCAGTAATAGGCGCCTCTAAAAAATTAACTAAAAAGATCAATCTTTAAAAGATTATTGTCTTTTATTTTCGTTTCAAAGTATCTATAATAAAAAATAAATAAATAAATAAAGTATTTGAAATAAGACGTTGTCTTGAAACTCTTTCGTGCTACAACACATAGCGTATGTCTGGATGCTAAAGACAATGAGAAAACAACATTCAAAAATAAGAAAATCAGATAAGAACTCACCCAATCACAGGGTTCTATGATAGCTGCTTCTTGCTTATACTTGTCCGGTGATAAATAAATTCGTCGATCATTTTCTAGCTGTAAACAGTTGCGCAAAATAAAAGTAATAATCAAACTGATGGCTATGATTCCACCACATATAATATGTCCGCGTCGATATACTGGCTCATCATCATCAGGATATACCTACGGACAAAAAACATTGTCATTAATATTGTTTCGAAGTCAAATGAAATTTCGATTGACATATTAAAATTTGGCTTTATGAGTTATTCTGCAAGTTTTCAGAAGCAATGGTCTTACCAGAGGCGCTAAAGTTCCGCCCATTTGACCCATACCTACAAGGAAACCGACAGCCAGTGCTCTCTTTGTATGACCACCGACATTATTTGTTAACCAAGAGAGTAGTAGAGGAAATGCAGAGAATGCACCACAATAAGCAATACAAGTACTGACATACAATGCCACGTCGCCTTGATCATACAAAGTAATCATTAAGATGAAACCGAGCAGAGCGATTGATAGACAAAATGCAAGATGAAAACTGTGTTCGTTTCGACATGATGACGAATAGCCCGCTAGCAAACAACATATACATGCGACAAAATCAAGTGGTATTGTCATTAAATGTACTTCTTTGGAGTCACTCATCGATTTGGCAAGTTCTGGAAGATATGTTGTCAGACATTTGTGAACGGCTAAATCGCCAACAGCAATCATGACATACAAATATATTCGCCAATCAATGAAAACATAGCGCACTTGCCGCCATGAAAGTCGAGTACTTGATGTAGGCTCACTGTTAGCTAAACCCGCATCTTCTCGAAGAAGATTCGTTAATAACTGCTTTTCACAATTATCCAGCCCTCAATTTTCAAAACAATTTAGAATATATTCTATTCATCTTTTAACTCTTACATTGAACAGTATCGGGTATGCTACCAAGAAAAAGATAGGTCATAACACCGAGTGGAATGATCGGCAAGCCTTCAAATAAAAATAACCATCGCCAATTCTTCAGACCCCCAATATCTTTCATATGACGGGTACCATATGCCTAGGTTAATGACAATCATCGATTCGATCAATTCAAAATGAGATATTTTTTTGTATGAGATCCATAAGTACGTACTAGAATTCCATCTAAAACACCAGCAGCAAAGACTGTTCCAAACAAAATAACAATTCTCATAATCTGCTCTTTTTTGCAATACCACAAAGAGAAATAAATGACAGTACCAGTAAAAAAGCCAGATTGAACCATGCCCTTCAATGACAATTTCGATATGTTTTGTTATCAGTCAAGATTGAATTAACTTACAAGAAGAAAGCGAACAATTAGCAGTTGTTGAGAATTTTTCACAAAAGCCATACCAACAGTGATGCCACCCCATAAAATCAGACTCAATGACAGATAACGAGTCGGACCCAAAAAGCGCAGAAGTAAAGTGCTTGGAATTTCAAAGATCGACTGGAAAAAAAAATTAGAATACTTCGAAATCTAGTTACATCATCTTCTCACATAGGAAAGGTAAAATAGTGAAATGGCCCAATTCATATCAGATGATGACATAGGTAGCTCGTCTTTAATGTTCATCAATTTGGCGTGACCTACGAAAATAGCATCAACCAATGAATGATTCAACTCAAAGACACATACCGAAACTAAGTCGATTAATGTATGAACTTATCTCGAGGAGAACAAGAAAAGGTATGAGTCTTCGATCGAGCTTCCAAACAAGGCGACGAATAGCGGTGGCTATGAATCGTTGCTCAGTGTTTTGACTGATAATAGGGATGGTGACTATCGTCGTCACAACTGCAGGCGTCGGTTCCATTTCCATCGATACTGCAATCGCGATTAGAGTCTACTATATAAGGTTATTCTTTGTAAAAGTGTCAATATGCTCCTTCTCTAAGTCATTCGTTCTCTCTTTTCATCTTTATATATATTGCATGTCTCTGTTCCTCTTTCCAATTCTTAGGGAAGTGATTCATTGATGTGACATCATTTTAATTATTACACATAGCTTACTTCCCGATTGGTGAGCAACTATGAAAAATATGTTGAATTCGGCAGGACTGATTACATCTGACTTATAATTTGTTCAGAAGTTTCAAACCGATAAAAACTCGAAAAAATTGACCGATGTGGTAGCATCAGTAGATGACGCTAACTGACGCTAAACTACTTAATGTATATTTATGTTTTGTTGTTTTAGTTTTGTTCTATTACGTCATTTGTTGGATAACCGACTCACATGATTGATTTTCCTATATACGTATATATTGTTCTTCACTTGTTAAAAAACTTAATTCAATTCAACATCGTTATTCTTGTTATTTGTTATTATCAAATATTTATATTTGATTCATTTATTTATAAATAAATATTATATTATCCACTAAATCAGAGGTAACAATATATTAGGCCGTTTATTGTCGGTTAAAGGAATAGGTGTCAAAAAAATCACCATTTTTCATAGTTTTTGCTCAGATTTTTATTAATCATCAAGAGGAAATATGATGTTATAATCGTTTATATGTGTAAGTTTTTCCAAAGATGGATATGCAATAGTAATGCACCCGGTATATGATTGCTAATCTTTAGTTCTTGAATTCTTTCATTCAGATTTTACAGAAAAACCTAAAGTTTCTATTTAATAAGTTGAAAGATTTATCTCAAATAACAGTTTTGATTGTGTATTTTTTAGGAAATGAAATAAACTTCGACTAAAAAATTTTAAAAATTAGACAAACAGAAGAGAATATGAATTGATAATTTTTGAAACAACGGAATGATTTTGATAAAAGAATTTAAACTTGCTGTTGACACATTTTACTCAGAAAAAAGTGTTTATCTAGATAATTGTGAAATTCATTTTTTCACTAAAACCTGACGAGGGAACACCATGAACTGATCAATCGCTGTTTAAATTTTAGCGTTGCCAATTTGTAGAGCTTGTTGAGTTATTAACTAATATAATAATTGTTCGAGCAAACAACGCGTTTTAAGAGTAAATCTATATATGTAATGTTTAAGAGAGGGTCCGCCAGACCGCCGACCAAGCCGTCCGGAGCTAAATTTTTTTTTTGGGTTCTTTTTAGCTAAAACGAAAGATTATATCATGAGACTCATAAATCCAAAATATTACGTTTTTCTGACATACCTGTGAAAAATGCCGAAGTACACAATCCTCGAATTTTTGGGGGTAGACCATAAAAATTCAAAAAAATGACTTTTTTCACATGTTGGCAGTTTTTTGAGCTTTTCTCCGCCATTGTTCATTGCTTTGAGGCGGGGCAGGTCTCAAAAGATGCAGAAAAGAATTCTCTACAAAAATAGTCTATATCAATACTTATAAAAATGTTTTTTAGTAAGTGATTTTTTCTCTACAAGGGAGGAGGGGTCCATGGCTGATAGTCATCCTTGAGCTGGTAATTTGCCTCTAGGTTTGTCGAGTCATGGCGTCCCAAAAAAACGAATCCTGATTCTGAAAACCCTTGAAATTCTGCATCTTTTGATATATAACTCAAAGACAGTGGCGTAGCCAAGGGAGGGGCAAATGGGCAATTGCCCATTTCATTTGGAGATTTGCCCATTGTAATTTTTATGAGTAAGTTTTTGCCCATTGAAATTTCACTTTTTCAGAATTGTTTATTTATTTTTGAATTAGATAATAACTCGTTTTCTTTTCTTCCGTCTGAATCACACATGCATTTTTGCTTGTTCTTTCTGTGAAGAGTGAAGAAAAGACTCGCTTCTGGTATTTTTACTAGAGTTGCTAGATGAATAACTTAAAAATCAGAAACTCTTGTTTTTAAAATCAGGAAGAAATCAGAATTTTTTTCCGAAATTGGAAACTAATCATAAAGAGTAACTTTTTGCAAACCAAGGACTATCATGTTGATATACTTGCACAAAAGGCTTCACGTTTTTTTTTGTTTATTGGCTCATACTTTGTTTTTAAGAGCATTTCATAGTAAAGAAAAACAGCACAACCATTATATAGCTTAGAGTAAAAGATCATATACTGTAAGCTAAGGAGATTGATCATAGTTGGATCAAATGAAGATTCTCACTATCAAACCAACTAATTAAAAATATGAGCTGCCAGTAGTGTACACACACACCGAGAAGAAGTTTACAGTTTGTTATGTGCCTTCACTACTAAATTTCGTCTACGCTTAGTTTTCTTTTTTCGTCATGGTTGGATGCAGCACGACCATTTACATAAGAAAAAACAATATCATGCATATTAAAAAGCAAATTCAATGAAGTCTAAGATAATTTTTCTTTTAATTATAAGGGTAATAAACAAAAAATTTTAATTGCTGTCAAATTGCTTTTGAATGTGTGTAATATTGCTTCTCCCTACGTCAATAGTCGTGTTCCATCCAATCATGATGAAGAAAGAAAACTAAAGGTTGATGAAATTCCGTACTGTGGGCACATGACAAACTGTAAATATTTTAAAATTTAAAAAATTCTGTCTGCGTACACTATTGGCAGCTCATGTTTTAAACTAGTTGTTCCGTATATGAGAACATTCATTTGATGCGACTATGATGAATCTCCTTAATTTGCTGTAGCATGGTCTTCATCTGTTAGTTAATACAAAAAAAACCTCAGGAAAAGACACCTAGTGTCGGATTCTTTTACAAAAATCAAAACTCTGTTTACGAAAAATATGCACAAAAAAATCATATATATAAACAATGCAGATCAAACAATCTTACGAAAAATAATAAAAGTTATAGAACATAACTTCTATATTATTTTTCAAGTTTTTCTTCGTTCAAAATTCCTTCAATAAATGTTTTTGAGCTAAAATATATTTACAAAATCGTTCAAACAAAAAGATAATTAGTATTCACTCTTCAGTTCAGCAACGCAACAATTTACTGATATATTAAAGCACTTGGCAGTGGCTGCAGAACTCAGAAACTACAAGAGATTAAGAAAGAAAAGAAGGTAGCGGAATACGAATCTATAATATTAATGGGTTGCACTCGTAATTAATTTCACTAGTACAGCCGCCATCTAAAAACGTCTGAAATCCGGCAACAAATAGAAAAATCAAAAGATCAGAAAAAAAATCGGGAAAATGTTCAAATTTCAGAAATTGTCCTGGCTTTTCAGAAGATCTAGCAAATCTGATCTTAA